CTTAGATTGTCCCTTAAACCCCAAAACCCCAAAACCCCAAAACCCCAAAACCCCATATGATAATATAATACTAGAGTATATACAAAATAAATTTTGCTAATATAATCTGACTATAATTTAACGCTTAATACTTAAAAATTAATAATTATTCATTGAGTTGAGGGTGAATCCCGATTTATATTTACATTAAGTCAGTCTATTTGAGTAAAGAATACGTAGTCCCAGAATTTCATAGATACTCCGAACCCAAGTTAACCGTTTTTATAATGATGCTGCATATGATATGTCTTTAATGACTTAAAGTAACCATCCTTAGGTGATGAATGGTGCAAGAAGTAATGAATTAAATCATAAGCAACATATCCAATCAGTAATCCACATATCTAGGGGTGATAGTAGTAATCAGACATTAGTAGCTTATATGGAGCCGTAACAAAAAAGTAAATGAAATATCCAGGTGCAATCGGCATTACTAATCTGTACCTATCCATTGGATAGGCATGATGAATTCCGTGTAATATAAAGTGGTGAGCTAGAACTAAAGGATGGTTGGGAAGCCAATAGTCTTCACTATGAAATAGGAATCTGTGAAGTATATATTCGGTGAATTACCATGAGATAGTACCAATTAATATAAATGCAATGAACGTTAGCCAGTCTGCTTCTACTTAGCTAAAATGATAGTAGAAAATTGGGCCAAAAGCCATTGGGATTCCCCACCATGGTGTCTTTGTGAATAGTTCTAGGAACCAGTTGTCAAAAACCTTGATATCACGTATAGGATTAACTAAATGCTTAGGCTCGTTAATGAAGGTAATGTAATCGTCCCAGGAGAGATTAGCATCTAGCATTTATTTGTAGAGGCCTCTATTATAGTCTATTTTGATGGTTGATTTTAGTTGTAAGCCATCAAGTCCCTTGATATTAGCTTTGGAGAGATCTGAGCCCTGATGTTAGGTTTCACCAAAAATATAACCAACCTTATCTAGATCTCTGAAAATCAGTCTTGCTGAGTTCGTATGTCCATGTTCTTCAAATGGCTCATCGATTACTTTTCCTAGATAGTTCACTAGAAACTCTTGTCCTCCTGGATGCTAGCTTATATAGCTATCTACATCATAGACTGTTCCTTCGAATATAACAACACGGTGTTTAGTCTCTTCATAGTATTGGAGAACTTCTTGTTCGCTTTTGAAATCTCTCATATTTGATATCTTGTTCTATTAAGTTGGGTTTTTTATAACTTATTTAATTTCAAATCAAGCATTTCACATTCACTACGTAAGCATTATAGTAAAATGGTGGGGTTTTGGGGTTTTGGGGTTTTGGGG